GGGGGCGGGGTCAGGGTCCCTCCAGGAGGGGCCTGAGGGCGCCCGAGAGGCCGAGCAGGGCCTGGCCCAGCGCCCGCGTCAGCGACGCCACGGCCCGGAGCAGCTCCCTGGGAGAGACCCCAGAACACCGGAAATCACCGAAATTACCCCAAAATACACCCAAAAACGCACAAAAACACCCCAAAAACACCCCAAAACACAAAAAAACACCCAAAACACACAAAAAATCTCCCCGAAAATAACCAAAACCACCCCAAATCACCCAAAAAATCCAAAAATTACCCCGAAAAACACCCCGGAAACATCCGAAATCACCTGAAAACATCCCAAAAAAACCCAAAACCACCCAAAACACTCTAAAAACACCCCAAAACACACAAAAATCACCCTGAAAATAAGCAAAACCACCCCACATCACCCAAAAAATCCAAAAATTACCCCCAAAAAACCCAAAATTACCCCCAAAACAACCCGAAAACACCCAAAATAACCCCAAAACCACCCCAAAACACCAAAATCACCCCAAAACACCCCGAAAATAACCGAAATCACCCCAGATCACCCGAAAAATCCCAAAATTACCCAAAAAACACCCTGAAAAACACCAAAACCACACAAAATCACCCCAAAAATACCCAAAGTCACCCGAAAACACACAAAATCACCCCAAAACGCCCCCAAAACACCCAAAATTACCCCCAAAAGCCCAAAATTACCCCCAAAATCACCCCAAAAAAAACCAAAATCCACCCAGGGAAATCCCAAAATTTCCCAAATTCACCCCAAAACCTCGCCCAGATCCGAGGCCCCGGATTTCAGGGGGATTTGGGGGAATTTTGGCTGAATTTTTGGGGTGAATCCCGGTGATTTTGGGCTGATTTTGGGCTGATTTTTGGGGTGATTTTGGCTGATTTTTGGGGTGATTTTTTGGGTTTAATCCCGGTGATTTTGGGCTCATTTTTGGCTGATTTTTGGATGATTTTGGGCTGATTTTGGGGGTGATTTTGGCTGATTTTTGGGCTCATTTTTGGGGTGAATTTTTTGGGGTGAATCCCGGTGATTTTGTGGTGAATTTTTGGGGTGAATCCCCGCGGTTTTGGGCTGATTTTGGGCTGATTTTGGCTGATTGTTGGGGTGATTTTGGGCTGATTTTTGGGGTGAATCCCCGCGGTTTCGGGGTGAATTTTTTGGGGTGAATCCCCGCGGTTTCGGGGTTACCTGAGCAGCCTCTCGGGGCCCAGCCCCCCCAGGTCCCAGCGCACCCCCCGGATCTGAGCCG